TGGAGAACCACAACAACAATTTTCATCAAATTCAGTAAATAGAACTTTTAAATATATATGCATATATAACTTTGAATAATCTATTTAGGACCGTCCTGGTTCACCAAATCATGCTCGTGGTGCAGCTAGTAATGGAATGTTTGGTACAGCTAAAACTGAAGCACAGTTTGTAAAAGAAGAAAAATATAAACAAGATTTAAAGCAACAAATGGAAGATAAGCGTAGACGAGATGCCGAAGAAACAGCTAAACGTCGAGCTGAAGAAGAACGTGAACTTGCTAAACATTTAGAATGGCAACAACAAATGGAAAAACAAGTAGCTGAAGAAGCAATAAGAAAACAACAAAAAGAAGAAGAAGAACGTTTACATCAACTACAATTACAAGAAGATGCAGAACAACGAAAAAAACAAGATGAACTTATATCAAAACGAAGTTCGATTCTTGCTTTTAACCTAAAACTATTCATCCTGTGAATTTTTATTTTCTTTTAGAACCAAAACGACAAGACAAACCAAGTTCACCAAGAACTGATGATGATACTGCTAATAGAAAAAATAATTCTAATGAACAACCATTACGATCAGAAGTTGCCTATCGAAGTGCTTCACCGCCAGTGCCAACTTTAAACAAAAAAGACAAGAAGAAAAAACCAACTACAAACAATACACGACGTCCATCATTCGATGATGCTAATCAACAACCATCTTTACCATCCTTTGACAATCATGATGATTATATTCAACAACCACCACCAGTTGATGATACAGATGGTCATGGTCGTCAAACATATCGCAAACCACCAACACCACGACAACCAGGTTTGTTAGATATTGCTAATAAGCTTGCTGTTGCTATCTTTTATTGCTTAATCGTATTTCTATAGATATATCAGCATCACAAAAACCACCACGTACGTCAACTAAATTTAAACTTTTTAAAAGAATTGAAATTGGGTTTTTTTTTATATGGAAATTATATATTTTATTATTCATTTAGAAACATATCGAGCTCGACCACGGCAAAACTCGAATGCTGGTATGCCAATACGTAATAATTCAGCTGCATCTCTTCGATCAGATGGTTCTGATTCTGAAGTACTTAATCGGCTTGAACATTTAAAACAACAATTACGAGATAGAGAAAGAAAACTTCAAGATCATGTCAATAGTCATCAAACAGATCAAACAAAAACTCAATCGAAACAACATCCAGGATTTGTACTTAATACACCACGTGTTCATCATCGTGATTCTCCAACAACAAATGATGTTGTTCGTCGTATCCTTCAAACAGATGATGATGCAGAATTTAACCCAAGTTATTTCCGTGATGATACGATTTTATTAGGTGGTGCTGGTGGAAATCATGCAAATAATGATGATAAATTTTTCTCATCAATAATAAAAGAACGTATGAATTCAGGTAATCGAAAATTTACTGATGAAATTGAACAAGCTTCTCGACACCCATATCACAACAATAATAATAATAATCCATCGAAATATTATGATCATGAAGATCCAACTAGTATGGCAAATTATGAATTAAATGTAAGCCAAACAAAAACTGATTATTTAATTTATCTTTTCTTTTGTATTTCTATAGAGAATTGCTAAACAGAATGAACAACGATTGAAAAAATTACGTGATCTTGAAAATGATGATGCATCATTATTAGATAGTAATGAAGTACTTGAACGTTTTCAACAAAAACAACGTATTCAACGTGGTGGTAGTCAAACAACTTTACAAGATGATGCTTGGCTTAAATAAAACAAACCTTATCTGTCTTTATTTGTAAATTTTTTACAAACAAACAATTTCTTTTTTTTTCTCGCAACTAACTATAAATGAACAAATCTTAGCACGTGTGAAAAGCACTATAATGAATTTTTATTGTTGTCTGTCTTTTTTGTCAATAATAAAAAAGAAACGGGGGGAGATTTTTATAGCAACGTTCTAAACTAATAATATTTCATACCTTGAATATGTTTCATATGGTAATTTAATTGTATGCATATTAAAATAACCGCCATTAATTAAACTTGTTCGACATGCTATATCAGACATATCAACAAGTTTGATCCATTTTGTTAATGAGTCAGTTCGATATTCAATCCTATTTGTTATATTACGACATTGTAATATTTTAATGTTTCGATTACATTCACTATTAAACTATTTCAAAAAAAATACATATATAAATAATTCAGTAAACGAAGATATTTACTTGAAAAACAAGAACATAATATGATTGTATAAGAATAGGTACGGTAATTACTGAAAATGAACTTTCATTAAAGATAAAAGTAGGTAAATTATTATTGCAGGAATCAGGTTGAGCAAGTAAAGCACCATTAATTGTTTCCCAATTAGAACGTGATGATGATACCGTATAGAAATAATCAGTTAAAAAGTAGATATTAATTGATTTAACTTTGAAAAATAAATAATAGATCAAAAAATAAAATCAAAAAAGTTTTCTAACTTACTTGATATTATATTCGAAAGACCCCAAGTTAAATTATGACATTTAGAAGAATAGGGTTGAAACCATCGAAATTGTCCTGTATAATATTTTGTATTTATTGCTTCAATTTCAACAGATGTATTCATATTTTTTATTGATACATCAAATTGATGAAGAATTGACCATGTCAATGTCCCGTCAGTTGATATTAATAAATAAATCGAAGTCTGACATGTTTTAGGAATCTGTTCGAAATAATACGTCCATTTAATTGCACTAACGAAAGAAAAAATATTCACATATATAAATCCGATTTTATTTTTATTTACCGCATTGGTCTTAAATCAATTGGTCGAGTAATAGCTTGTCGATCTATTGTTGTCCATAGAATTTTATTTGTTTTTTGTTTATAGGATTCTAATTGTAACCAATTTATATCATTAAAATTTTTTTCAAATGATTCTCGAAAATCAACTAGAGGAAGAATTGAATTATTCATTTGACATTCTCCATTCATACAACGTGCATGACCAAAACAATTCATTAAACATTTATTTCCTATGTATATATAATGAAGATAATTATCTTTACATTCCGATGAAAATCTTAATCGAAAACGAATCGAATTATTTTGATTTGTAAATAAATTAAATGGAATAGTTAAACGATAGAATGTCATATTTTCCGAATGAAATTTAATTGGTATAAATTGTAATTGATTTTCATTTGAAATATCTAACCATTTTAAACCAAGATCTAATGAATATTGAAGAATATTATTCGTACAATTAAATTCAATTTGTAAAATATAATTATCATTAAAATAAACATCTTTTGTTTCGTATAGAATATTATTAGTTGAATTTATTAATTCTAAAAATGTTGAATTCCATTTTGTATTTGTTGGAGAAAACCATTGTAATTTCGTATGAATATGAAATATATGAAATTGTTCGATTGACCATGCAGATCGATCATTTACTGGGAAATTTTCAATGAGTCGAAGTTGAAGAATAACGGATGGTAATAATTTAGTTATACTTATGAAAAAAAGAAAATAATTTGCTTAAGAAATATAGTTAAATGTACAACTTACTTGAATTCATAACCTTTAAATGTATGTAAAGTAATCCATTGATGTGAATTTATTTCTCGATATTGTAGATGAATCCAATTGTCACCATTTTTTCGACTATGTATTTTTGACATACATTGATCATCAAGTTCAATGTAAACATATGTATGATTATGATTAATATTTATATAATTCGTTTCAAATTCTCGTTTACATGTCTAATTATTAGAAAAGAAATTTAAATTAGTATAAAGAATAAATTTCAATAGAATTTATACATTATTAAAAACTCTACCACATTTTATATGATGTATAGAACCATAACTTGTATAATAATTATGTTTAAGAATATCTAATTCATTTGGAAAATGAATCGTTGAACGACTACAATCATTATTTGTCCAATTGGAATTACATCTAAATATTCCACAAAAAAAATTCGTATAGTTTATCTTGAAATTTACCTGCATTGACCATTATTTAAACACATTCCATGACCATTACAAGCATTGATACAGTTTGAACCGATATACAATTCAGAAATACCTATGAGTAATTGTTCGTCATCGGATGATATTGATCCATCATCGAAACGAATACGAAAACGAACTTGATTTGATCTATGACAAAAAAACAATAATATTACTTATCACATCTGAATTTGAGTGATCTTACCCTATCATCATTGATGTTATTTTCCATGTAGAAATCTTTGATTGTTGTAAATGATTATCATCATATAGTAATACATCATCATGATCAATCGATTGCCAAGTATATCCATAATCCGATGAAAACGAAAATTGAATATCTAATAACAAAAGATTTATTTTTATTTCGAAATATTTCTCATACTTATGCATCGATTGTATGCTAAAGGAGCAAGTCTTAATTGAATATAAAATATATTTTCAAATATATTCAAATCATCTGTAATAATTTCATTCATTGTTGAATTATCTAAACGAAAAAAAAAATACAAGTAACGCTCATCCGATGACTCGCTTAGCTCTTTCTCGTAGAAATATATCCTCTTCACATTTACTGAAAAAATAATTAAAAACTGTGAAAAATCGGTTTTCGATGTTTTTTTGACCCTGCGGACAGACAAGCAAGTAAACAATTTATTTCTGCTGGACTCTTCTCTACGAGAAAGAGAATAAAGTATTTTTTACTTATTGCTGGAAATATCAGATATGTTCCATTAAATATTCCATTACCAAATGAAATAAATAAATTTGAATTAAAATTATTTAAATGATTAAATTTTCCATAGATTCCTTCTCGACGAGTAATTGAACCACTAACAATAATCTAAGAAGAAAAGAATTTTTCTTTTATTAAATTCTTCAATATATATATTTTTTTCTAACTTGTTCAATTTTTAAACATGTTGACGAAACAAATCGAATAACGATATAATCATACTTCATTTCATCAATAAAATCTTCATGAAATTTATATGATTGATTTCTATTTAATATATAATATTTAAATAATTGCCAACTTAAACCCATATTACGAGAATATTCTAATGATATTATTGGAATATTTTGTTTACAGTTCGTATGAATATCAAATTCAATAAATCTAAATTTTATTTATTTCATAATATTCATTAAATATTTAGTTTTACCTAGTTGATTGAAGATTTAACGATGGTAAAATAATTAAATCTGATATACTACTATTAAATCTTTCATAAAATGTTGTTTTTGTTGATGATATCGAACAATTCGTCTTATTCAAACAATTACATTTTCCATTACATGATTCTATTTCACATAAGATTTCGCATTCTGAACGAACAGTTACATTTCTTATTTGCCAACGATTAGCAACAGTTGAATTAGGAGCTAACCAACGAATACGAAGAAATCTAAAGAAGAAATTATTAGTCGTTTCGAAAAATATTTGATCTTACTTCAATTTTGGATAATAGGTATGTAATGGTAAATAAAAGATATTTTTTATTGCACGTAATGGTTGAGTTATGATTATATCATTCGTATTAGAAGCAATTGTTGATGGTCGATCGATTGATGACCAAGTTTGACCATAATCAATAGACAATTCAAGATTAAATTGTGAATGATTCAATGTAACGAGAGAACCATTCGTACAAGGATTACGATCTAACTAAAAGTTTAAAGAATTATTTTAGTTGAAAATGCAAAATGAATAGTTTTACTTGAAATGTTAAAAACGATGTATCATTTAATTGTATATCAATAGTTGAATAGATTTCATAAGGAAATATATAATGTCTAAAATAATGGTTTAAGAGAAAAATGAAGACATAATTTTATATGTTATACTCATAATTGCAGGTGTTTATTGATGAAGATTGATTACTAATCCATTGATAAGGTAATTTTTGTGGTATTATTTCAAATTTCTTAAGTATCCAATTTGATGTCCATTCTATGAAAACATAACTTTATGATTTTAGAAGAAAAATGTAGAAGTTATTCATATACTTGTTGTTACACGTTGAAATAATCGAATACGAACTAAATGAAATTGTAATGCATTATCATCGGGTAATTCAATAAGCCATGGTTGATCAGGTAATTCTTTACGATAGATGATAGTCATTAATGTTCTCCATAAAATACCATTATTTATTGAGATTTGTACTGATATTGGATCAATAAATATATCAGTATGATTGAAACATGTATCCAATTGAATACGAATAAATTGTACGTCAACTAAAGAAAATTCTGGACTGATTAAACCACGAGTACCTGCCTAATATGAAGAAAAAAACTAACAGAATAATATATAATTTATGATATTTACTTGTGAAAATACGTATCGTTGATCTTCGGGCGAACATTTTTCATATCCCCATGTTTCCGACCAAACAGATAGATTAGAATTCAGTTCATTTGATAATATTTCACTTTTGAGAACAATTAAAGGATCAGGTGAACAATATGGTAATGCATAACCATAATTACATCTAAATTATATGATGTTTATATACATATATTGATTTAATATTTCAACTTACAGACAACCATTTGATTGACATATACCATGACCTGAACAAAACCATGGACAATCAGCTCCAACATATACATTATTAATTATAAATCGTGCATTAGATTGATTTGCTTTCCATCGAAAACGAACTTCTTGATTTCTAATTTAATAAAATAATTAAACAATATAATGATTTTTATTAAATACGTACACATAATTATCTGGTATAGGAATTGTAATATTTCTTTGTTTTTTATATAAATGAGCAAGAAATAAAGATCCTGTTGAACCTATTTTATCTTCACAATAGATTGTTGTTTGATTACATGAAGGTATTAAAGATATCCAATTTGACCAGCCATGTATAACATCTGAACTAATTTCAAGTACTAATTGCCAATTAGTATCATTTGTCAGTTTTATTGGAAACATTTGTAAACTAAATTGAAGTATTGAACTTGATTGAATCAATGGAAATTCCCATGTTTGTGCTTCATAATCAATTTTATTCTTCTGTTCAATATTTAAATTATTTTCACACCAGATATTTTTATCATCTATAGTTCGAATACTAACTGAACGTATATTCCACATTAAACATGATTGATCTATTGGATAAAAATAAGAAAATTTTCAATAACAACAAAAAAGTAATTACCATTTTCTTCAATCCATCTCAAATAAATATTTTTATTTATTGTTAAATTATCAAATTTTTCAAATATATTATTTGTCGCGTCTAATATCATTTTCGTATGCCATTGAATACCATTATCATATGAATATTGAAATAATACTTGATTTGAACAATTTGTTGAACTAATATATTGTAAACCAAATTTGAATATGACATACCTTAAAGATAATATATATATTTATATCCTATACTGTTTCAAATCTTACGAGGGAACCTCACCAACTGATTAATCACTTTTCAGTTCGGACTCCGTAGATAAAGAAGGCTTCAGTGCGGTATGAAAAATCCCAAAAGGATAAATGCCCTTATGCCTTCTATCCTGAGTTATAGGCAATATACTGAAATTTTAGCCTATGTCAGGGTATGTAGGAGTAAATCGAATGACGGTATTTCGACCTGAGATTTTGTCCACGGTGAGATCTATATGTGACTAGAATACCATGAAAATTTCAGCTAAAAAGAATGGTTCCTTCTCGAGATATTAAAGTATCCAAAAATCAGTCATATTTTATGAAAGATACCAGAATTTTCTGTTTTTTGAGACTTTGATATCTCGAGAAGGAAGCGTTATTTTAAGCTGAAATTATCAGGGTATTCTAGTCACATATAGATCTCTCTGAGGTCGAATTACCGGCATTCGATTTATTTCTGCATACCCTGCCATAGGCTAAAATTTCAATATATTGTCTATAACTCAGTACGGAGTCCGAACTGAAAAGCGATTAATCAGTTTGTGAGATCCCCTCGTCAGACAAAAGTAGCCATCTGTGTATGATGTGAAAGAGAATATATATACTTTATAGTTTTAAATGGTCCAACCGTAACATAAGATTGTTGAGTGTGATTATTTGGTACAAAACATAGATATGGTGTTGTTTTACTTTGTCGATTATAACATCGATGTGTTATTTGAACATCAGGAGATATTGACCATATTGAAGAATTTATTTTATTTTCAAATGTTTCATGTAAACTTGATAAAAGTAAATGATTTGGTAAACAATTTGTTTCTAAATTTAATATTATATTATCTATTTATTTTTATTTTAATTAAATATAAAAATATACCAGAAGTTTGATTATTATCACAATGACAAATAGCTTGCTGTTTTTTCCAAAGACATTGACCATGTCCATAGCAATTTGCCGTACATGGTGGACCCATATAAATATATTTTAAAATAAATGAATGATCACTTTGAAGTCGTATTAATATTGAACTATAATATAAATATAAATATATTTCTGATGTTTATTGATTTTACCGTCGAAGAAGTTCACTTGGAATTTGTCGTCCAAAACGATTTAGTTTTCGTTGAAAAATACGTCTGTCAATCAATTCATGCCAAGTAATATTATCAACTGAATAATCAACTTGTAAATGTGTATTATTCATATTTGAATCAGTCTAAAATACAGATATGTATATTCTACTGATTTCTAAGTATTGAACATACATCAATCATAATAACATAATCACGTTGTTTTAAAGTAATAGCTGTTGAAATTAATTGATAGAAATTATTTTGAATTTTTTTTGTATACAATCCTGATGAATTAATTGAATATATTGGATAAAGCCATTTCGATGAATCAATTTCCTAGAAAATATCGCTGAATTATTTTTACAAAAAATAAATCAATATACTTGAAATTGATCCATCAAATAATCTTGAATTTGTGATTTAACAAATGCTAAATTAACTATTCGAATAGATGAATTTTTCCATCGTAATAATGTATGCTTTGCTTGACATGAAGCAGGTAATAAGACATAATGATCTCTAGATAAGAAATGCAATGTTTTATTATAATTTTCACAAAATAAACTATTCATACTTCAATGCATTCTCTTTTTCTTCTACCCACAATCCAAGTTCAAACCATTTAACACCACCGTTTGGTGAACATTCAAATAAAAGATTATTTTTTTTTGATTTACTCGTCATCGTTTGAAAATGTATAGTTGATACATCAGTTGTATCAAAAAATGGAAGAAGTAATTCATCATCAACCTAAACATAATTGTTATACATTATTAAGATCATTTAACTTACTATATTTATTCTGAAATTCATTAAATCCTCTTCATCGAATGATACATTTATAGATTGATTAGACAATATTTGTTCGTCATGTCTACAAACAAATAATTATCATTTGATAGAGAGAAGAATATTATCGTTCTTACAAACACATTCCTTCATAACAAATTCCATTAAGCCAACAATTATTTTCACATTGAACACCCAAATGGATGAAATTCAAATCAAATTTTTTCGTTGTTGCAGTTGTTAAATTTAATAAAACATTTTTAAACCAAATTGTCCGTGGAAGTTTAATAATTAATGTTAATGTTAAATTTTCTGAATGATAAGAAAATATCTCCATATTTTTCGAAAGATCTATTTGACTTGAATTTATTCGAAGACGAATCTATATTTCATCGAAATAAACAATCGCAAAAAACGAAGAAGAAGAAAAAAATTTACGTCATTTAAATCAAATAATATATTTGATTCTTTTCGATTAATTGGTTCTAATCGAAAACTAAGAATATATCCTGGTCGAATATAAGTTAGTTTTGTTTGAAAAGTTCTATAAATAATTATGAAATCTTTTTGAAATCTTATAAGATCCAAACATACTTAACATGTGCATTTTTCTTAATTGATTTTGTTGATATGACATCTCGAATAATAATATCATCAATAGCCCAAACATCTTGATTATCACCTCCATGTATCATTTGTCTCCATTCAATAAGACAATTGTCACTTTCCATTTTTTCTTTAAATAAAATTCGACTAATTGTTCTATGAAATAAAAATAAAAACGAATTTCAAATAAAATTTCTCAGAAAATAAACTAAACCCAAAATCTGGCGCTAGGACATCTGATATACGAAAAAGATCAATAATTGTCCAATGAACACCATTTGAACATGATGATAATAATAAAATTGATTTTATATCACGATCAAGATCAGTTTTACTTGTTCCTAAACATTGGACATTAGAACTACCAAGACGTATTGTGAATTCAAGTAATCTATTTGAACAATAAATAAATTAATATATCTTTATATGAAAATATTTACTTTGGCGAACTACCATTTATATTTGATATTCGTAAAAATCGAAAACCAGTTTTAGAAAATACTAATGATTTTCCTTGAGAAATAATATCACATACATAACTAAATCGACCACCTGAATATAAATAATAGAATTTTATGATAATTAAGGAATAAAATTGAAAGATACCTTGATAAGTCATGACATTTGTTTGATTTATATTATTATCGATTAGAAATGACGCATGATTGAATAATATTTCATTGCTTATCTCACAGAAATCGCCAGAAAAACCCGCATCACATCTTTAAACAAAATTATAAAGACAGATGTTGAATGATCATAGTCATAGTAGTTTTATTATACCTGCATGTATTGAATTGACACCATCCATGTCCATTACAAGCTCGAAAACATTGTCCAATAAAAACTACGAATATCAAATTCATCTATCATTTCCCTAAAATATTTAATGATTACCTTTGTCAAGTGCCCAAGAGTTACTTGTTGAATAAGATGACATAGAAAATAATGAAGTACTAATACGAAAACGTGTATATTCTTGTTGTAATATTGCCATAGGTAAAGGTAATGTTATACGATGCCATCCACTGTATAAAAGAATAAAAAAAACTAGAAAGAAAAAGATAGAAATTCTTACATTGTTGGCAAAATAATGTTTGAAGAATAAACATGTTGTACATTATGTGGACATGCTGAATCAAGAAAACATGGTTTTAATAATAAATGCCAATTTTTTCCAAAATCAACGGAATATTCAATATTAACACTAATAAAATAATTATTCTATATATATGTAAGATCATTTAAAAATAAATTCTTCTATACCTTTCACTTGATATTCCCATTCCACCATTTATTAATTGTTGTTGTTGTAAATGACAATTTGTATTTAAACCCAATTGAATATAATGAGTAATATTCGATTGTAATAGAGGTAATGCTATAAAATCTCTTACACTCCATACATCAACATTTTTTCCTGATGATTGATGATATTGTGATAAACAAATACGACCAAATGTTGCTGCACTATGACGTAATTCATTCAAACGACTATAAAAAGTTTTATGAGTTTGCTAAATAAAATATAAACATTGAAGAAAAAACATTTATTCCAAAATTTCAAATATTTTTTACCTGTATATCACGTAATGATATTCGACGTATTGTTCTTGAATAACCAATAGTTGAACCATTATAAACAACAGATAGAAATATAACTGCACCTGGTGTTGGAATATGTTTATTTCGTTTCATACATGGTTCTGTTGATATCGTAAAACGAATACTATCAATTTGACCAAGTTCAATCATTGGTGAACATATTTGTCGATAATTTTCTCCATTAAATGTAATTACATCTTCATCAGTACATGTTTGATTTAAATCTAAATAACCAGTAGCTTTCCATCTAGAGATATGTGAATTAATGAGAGAGACAAAAAAATGAATTATACTTTGTCCAATCGATTGATGTATTTTTTGAAAGATGAAAAATAATATCATGATCATTCTTAATTTCTTCCGATAGAGAAAAATCAATTGTTGTAGCACCGATTTCTGTTCGAATATCAATATTTGATTCAAAAACCATACTCATTCGTTCATCACATGTCTAAAGTTTTTGAATAATATTATTTCGCTTTTAAGAAAAAAGATCTACTACCTTTAATTGACCACCAGCTAAACGATGCCAATTTGCAGGTTGCATTGCTTGAAATGAATCGAAAAAATAATCATTTTGTAAACGAGATCGAATAATTAATAAATCATCAATAAACCAAGAACCACTACCAAGAAATTTCTCACCCTTTTGTTCAATTTTTAAACATATAGTTGTCGAATTTGTTATATTATTTAATGAAAATGGTACAGTAACATACTCAATACCAGGTAAAATTCTACACAAAAAAATTATTTCAAAACAAAATAAATCTTTATTTAATATTTTTTCCTACCGTTGTGAATAAATCATATGCCATTTTGTATAATTCAAACAATCTGTCGTTATTAATAATTGAATTGGTGAATCTGTAGGTGCAGGTGGTGGACATGTTCCACTCCCAAGTCGTATATAAAGTAACGATGCATTTGTTACATCAATTGGACGAGAAATCAGTCTGCGTTTACCTCTTGGATTATTGAATATAGCAACACGGCCATCCTCTGCAGCATCACATTCACGACTTAAACGCATACCTTCATGTGTATACCAGATTTGTTGTACAACTGGTCCAAAGATTAACCAACTAAATAAATAAATATAACGAGATTGATAATGAATAAAAACAAAATTATTAATTTTACTTGAAATTGTCTAGTAAAGCTAATTCAGTTGTATTTATTGTTCTCATATATGATTGTACATCATATTTATCATCATTATCAATTATTTTATCTAAATAGTTTTTAATTCATAATTATGTATACGTAGATTTGATTTTATTAGTTATGTAAACCTGTAGTATTATTTGTGCAAAGATCAGCGATTTTTATGACCATTGAAGTTAGATAATTATGTAAGTTCAATTGAATGCATTTTGTTTTTGTTGAGTTTTTATCAAATTTTAATACAAATTCAATTTTATGAATAAATGCTGAAGTTGATTCATTTGTTAACACACATAAAGAATCATTGCTTGTATTGAAAACTGTATCAATATCGAGTGTTATATATGATAATGAAAGAGTGTTATTCGAAGAAAGAATAACTAGAAAAAAAACAACTTCATATTTATTTATTATCTATTAGAATCTTTATTAACCTGTATAAGGTACATTTAATTCATAGGTTGTTGGAATATTTTGAATTATTAATTCATTTGATGAAGATAATGAACAAAAAGCATTTTCCAATATAGTATTGATTGGAATTATAATACAACAGAAAAGTATTATAAAAAGCATCATTCTCATATACGATTAAATTGTCTTATGAATGTATATGAATAGCGGTCTATGTACATTCTCCTAACAATCTGATGGATAACAGCCGTTAATATAGATAGTATAAACAATACTGATTATCATATACTCTTTCTTTGTATACAATAATATCAGATTTTTCCCGTATGTGATTTTATACACAAATCTGTTGAAACATCATGAGTAAATAATGTCAATATATCAGCTGTTTCCTAATGAAAATAACGATGTCGAAAACATAACTTTATTAAATTGAGTTATCATGAACATTCATCTTAATTCAAAATGAACTGGGTACAAAGAAGACAACTATTATACATAAAATAACTGATAAAAAACAGAAAGAGAAGAATAAGCATATACAAATAGGAGATAACAGTAGATGCACTCTGAAGATTTTTATCTATATATATATAACAAATAGAGATAGAAACATTTTCATTTGTTTAAAAAGACACACCTAATATTCTTTTGAACTATGAATACATCATTGGATAATCAAACTGACAGTATTGTTGAAACCCGATTTCAGGATAAAACAGTCATTGTAACTGGAGCTGGATCAGGTATAGGTCAAGCTATTGTTATACGGCTTGTTGCTGAAGGTGCATTCGTTCTTGGTATTGATCTTAATGAAGCTGGATTGAAACAAACAACATTATTAACATCACGACCAGAACGTGTATCAATTGCTGTCGCATCTGTTACAGATGAACAACAAATTACCGAAAAAGTTAATGAATATATTGCTCGTCAAGGTCGTCTCGATGTTCTTATTAATATGGCTGGTATTATGTGTGCAACTATAGCAACAGATACTACACTTGAACAATTTAGATCTGTTATTGATACGAATTTAGTTGGCACATTTCTTATGTGTCGTGTTTGTCTTCCTCATTTATTAATTACGAAAGGTAATATTGTGAATGCCGCTTCAACAGCTGGTCTACATGGTCATCCTTATATGGTAGCATATGCAGCTAGCAAAGGAGGTGTTATTGCATTAACTAAATCTTTAGCAAGAGAATATATTCGACAAGGTGTACGTGTTAATGCAGTTGCACCAGGAGGTACTGCTACGCCGTTAGTTTTTACAATGAAATTTCCAGCTGGAATAGATCAAAGTTTATTCGCTAATTTGCAATTACCTGATAGAGCAATGGCACAACCATCACAGATAGCTGCTGTTGTAGCTATGATTGCCTCTGCAGATGGATCATTCATTAATGGCGAAGTGATTCGAATCGATGGAGGCTGTCATACATAATTTATTATTTCGTAGAAATTAAATTTAGCTAAATGTAATATCGTAGTAAATTATATATCAAAGAATATTAGCAACAATCGATTCATTTTTTGCACATGACAAATTCATCCCTTTCATTTTATAGAGATAACAGAAAGATGAATATAAAAAAAAGAGATAACAACAATAATGATAGATGTGTTTCATCCGTTAAACACTGGTAATTGGTTTGAATCGTTCTGCACGTTTGGCTTTTTGTTCCTACGAAGAAAAAAAACATAAAAGTTAAAATTCGACTAATAAAATCAAATTTACATACATCTACTGCAATTGTTTTAGCTACTTGAGATATATCACCAAAACGTTCAGTTCGCTTTTTAATTTCATCAGTTAAAACTGGAGTTGTTGCAGTAGATTTTCCACTGGTATTCTTTTTTGTTAATGCAGACTATAACGTTTATTTTATCAATTTTAAAAACTAAGATCAGTTTTTTTCTTCTTACCGTTGGTGGTGTAACGACGCCAAAGCGATCGATACGTTTTTGTTTTGTTTCTTCATCGACTACTGATGTTGGAGTATCAGTATG